AATAAGGCATGAAATGTCATAGTATAGTAAGGCATAAAAACATAAAAAAACATCATAGTATAGCAAGGCATAAAAACGTCATTTTATAAAAAGGAAGAAAATGTCATAGTATAATAAGGCATGAAAACATCTAAAAACGTTATAGCGAGGTATAAAAAATTCAAAGAAGTCATAACGGATAAAATGGCAGTATAGTAAGGCATAAAAACATCAAAAATTATCACATTATAGTAAGGCATAAAAATGTCAAAAAATGTAATAGTATAGTAAGGCATAAAAACCTAAAAAAACATCACAGTAGAGTAAGGTATAAAAACATAAAAAAAAACATCATAGTATAGTAAGGCATAAAAACCTAAACAAAACATCACATTATAGTAAGGCATAAAAACGTCAAAAAATGTCATAGTATAGTAAGGCATAAAAACGTCAAAAAAACATCACAGTATTTTAAGGCATAAAAACGGCAAAAAACATCACAGTATAGTAAGGCATAAAAACGTCAAAAAATGTCACATTATAGTAAGGCATAAAAACGTCATAGTATAGTAAGGCATAAAAACGTCAAAAAATGTCACATTATAGGAAGGCATAAAAACGTCAAAAAAACGTCATAGTATAGTAAGGCATAAAATCATCAAAAAACGTCATAGTATAATAAGGCATTAAATGTCATAGTATAGTAAGGCATAAAAACATAAAAAGTTCACAGTATAGTAAGGCATAAAAACGTCAAAAAACGTCATAGTATAGTAAGGCATAAAAACATAAAAAAAAAAACATCATAGCATAGTAAGGCATAAAAACATAAAAAAAAACATCACAGTATAGTAAGGTATAAAAACGTCAAAAAATGTCATACTATAGTAAGGCATAAAAACATTAAAAAAAACATCATATTATAATAAGGCATAAAAACGTNAAAAATGTCATAGTATAATAAGGCATGAAAACATCTAAAAACGTTATAGCGAGGTATAAAAAATTCAAAGAATTCATAACGAATAAAATGTCAGTATAGTAAGGCATAAAAACATCAAAAATTATCACATTATAGTAAGCATCATAAATGTCAAAAAATGTAATAGTATAGTAAGGCATAAAAACATAAAGAACGTCACAAAACGTCATAGTATAATAAGGCATGAAATGTCATAGTATTGTACGGCATAAAAACGGAATAAAACGTCACAGTAAAGTAAGGTATAAAAACGTCAAAAAACGTCACATTATAGTAAGGCATAAAAACATAAAGAACGTCACAAAACGTCATAGTATAATAAGGCATAAAAAGTCATAGTATAGTAAGGCATAAAAACATAAAGAACGTCATAGTATAGTAAGGCATAAAAACATAAAGAACGTCATAGTATAGTAAGGCATAAAAACATAAAGAACGTCATAGTATAGTAAGGCATAAAAACATAAAGAACGTCATAGTATAGTAAGGCATAAAAACATAAAGAACGTCATAGTATAGTAAGGCATAAAAACATAAAGAACGTCATAGTATAGTAAGGCATAAAAACATAAAGAACGTCATAGTATAGTAAGGCATAAAAACATAAAGAACGTCATAGTATAGTAAGGCATAAAAACATAAAGAACGTCATAGTATAGTAAGGCATAAAAACATAAAAAAAACATCATAGTATAGCAAGGCATAAGAACGTCAAAAAAACATCACAGTATTTTAAGGCATAAAAACGGCATAAAACGTCACAGTTAAGTAAGGTATAAAAACGTCAAAAAATGTGATAGTATAGTAAGGCATACAAACAAAAAAACACCATAGTATAGTAAGGCATAAAAACATAAAAAAACATCACATTATAGTAAGGCATAAAAACATAAAAAAACATCACATTATAGTAAGGCATAAAAATGTCAAAAAATGTAATAATATAGTAAGGCATAAAAACGTCAAAAAACGTCACATTATAGTAAGGCATAAAAACTTCAAAAAATGTCACATTATAGTAAGGTATAAAAACGTCAAAAAATGTCACATTATAGTAAGTCATAAAAACGTCAAAAATGTCATAGCATAATAAGGCATGAAAACATCTAAAAACGTTATAGCAAGGTATAAAAAATTCAAAGAAGTCATAACGAATAAAATGTTAGTATAGTAAGGCATAAAAACATCAAAAATGATCACATTATAGTAAGGCATAAAAACATAAAAAAAACATCATAGCATAGTAAGGCATAAAAACGTCAAAAAACATCACAGTATAGTAAGGCATAAAAACGTCAAAAAATGTCACATTATAGTAAGGCATAAAAACGTCAAAAAATGTCACATTATAGTTAGGCATAAAAACATCAAAAAATGTTATAATATAGTAAGGCATAAAATGTCATAATATAATAAGGCATGAAAACATTAAAAACGTCATACTACAACAAGGCATAAAATGTCATAGTATAGTAAGGTGTAAAATGTTACAGTATAGTAAGGTTTAAAAAAATAAAAAAAACTTCAGAGTATAATAAGGCATTAAAAGTCATAAAACATCAAAAACATATACATACTTATTTTATTAATTCAAAGAATGATGCATAAAACAAGAAAATATTGTTGTCAGTACATTATAGTAAGGCATAAAAATGTCAAAAAATGTAATAGTATAGTAAGGCATAAAAAAAATAAAAAAAAACATCATAGCATAGTAAGGCATAAAAACATAAAAAAAAACATCACATTATAGTAAGGCATAAAAACGTCAAAAAACGTCACAGTATAGTTAGGCATAAAAACGTCAGAAATTGTCACATTATAGTTAGGCATAAAAACATCAAAAAATGTTATAATATAGTAAGGCATAAAATGTCATAGTATAGTAAGGCATGAAAACATTAAAAACGTCATACTACAACAAGGCATAAAATGTCATAGTATAGTAAGGTGTAAAATGTTACAGTATAGTAAGGTTTAAAAAAAATAAAAAAAACTTCAGAGTATAATAAGGCATTAAAAGTCATAAAACATCAAAAACATATACATACTTATTTTATTAATTCAAAGAATGATGCATAAAACAAGAAAATATTGTTGTCAGTAAACTAAAGAAGAACAGGGTGAAGTTGCAGTGAAAACCAGCATTTGAATTATATTATTCATGTTATTCATTTTTAGATGACACTCCTGTATATTCACTCACCCACACACACACACACACACACACTCACTCACCCACACACACACACACACACTCACACACACACACGTCTGGTTTCTGATAAAATAATCTGCTTATGTTGCACTGCAGAAGCGTGTGTGTGTGTGTGTGTGAGTGTGTGTGTGTGTGTGTGTGTGTGTGTGTGTGTGTGTGTTTGTTCAGACAAGCACATGGAGGCAGCAGATGTATAGAAATAATCCTTCATCTCTCATCTATGCAGCAGCTCAGGGATTGGTCACCTCACCATTGGTGTGTGTGTTTCTGTCAATGGCTTATGATGATGTAAGGTTTGTGTGTGTGTGTGTGTGTGTGTGTGTGTGCATCAAGGTGAGGCGGTAGAAACCAGCAGCAGAGTTTTTCATCACATTTCCAACAGTTTCACCGTCCTGAGGCAGAACTCTCTACAGGAAGCTGATGAGCTCAAAAACCATTTTCCACCTCTTGCTGAGTGTCAAAGAAAAACTCTGATGACTGAATTACATAAGACTTTGAGTGTTGAAGGAGCTGTTTGTAAGTTTTGCCATTGCTACATAGCTAACGTTAGCATTAGCAGCTGTTAATGTCCTAATGTTGAGTTTGTTCCAAACAGCCTTTATTTGATCAACATGTCTCTCTGCTGGAAGCTTCATTCACATCATTCCAGTTGTTCCAGCTGTGTAACTCACAGTCCACTGCTGCCACCTGGTGTTCATCATCTGAACCACGAAGCAGAACTTCCTGTGGTTTCCTCTGAAGCAGCTGCCACAGGAAACGGGTGAAGAGTGTTGGGATGCAGCCGAGCACAAACTTCAGATCTTCTGCAGTGAAACCACGTGAGTTCAGGACAGAAACATCAGAGATCTTCTGTTCACACTCCCTGACACACAGGGGTGGACACAATAACAGAAACACACTATGACACACAGAAGATACCAGCTTACTACACCGAGTATAAAGAAAACTATTTTAATTCTTGTTTATTAGCCTCTTAGTCATTAAGTAAGTGTGGCAGTGTTACTCCCAGTGGCTCTGCTGTGAGACCGTGATGAGACCCAGCCGAGCGTCGTGCTGCAGTGCAGCGTGATGCTCAGAGCAGCAAGACGCTGAGTCCTGAGCACAGTGTCTGTGAGGGGAGCCGAGGTAAACGGTGCAACCATCTGTCTCACACACACACACACACACACACACACACACCTTATTTTCCTGTGTTTCTGGGTGTGACTGATGGATGGAGACAGTCAGTCCACCTGCAACCACCAACTGCTGCTGCAGTCTAGTCAAATGGTGCATTTGTCAGTGTCAAAGTTCGTCCACTGACAGGTTCAGTCTAAAGTGTCCGACGTCATCAAGTATTCAGATCCTGTACTGAAGTAAAAATACCACACAATAACACAGACCAGCTGATCCAGGCAGGAGTCTGGTCGACATAAGGTCTGTGTTATTGCGGGGTGTGTGTTCAGACTCTGGTGGAACAGAGATTTAACGTGTTTGTGGTTGAACAACGTTTTTCTAAAACAAAAAGTCTCTCTGTAGGAATTTGATCCATGTTGTCCGACACTTATTATCACAATCTGAGACTGACAGCGGTGGACGCACTTTGACCCGGATCAAAGACCCCGGTGTTTACATTACAGCAGCTGTTTAGTGGTTGTGATGCAAAGATCATTTACAACCCAAAACATGAAAAGAACGTCCAGGTTGAAAAACCCCGGAGGTCTCATGAGCCGGAGGAAGAACCTGATCGGAGCTGCACACAGGAGCGAGGCGGCGTGATCCTGCAGGACGTCCTCCACCCGTACCAGAAAACAACATGGACACTGAAGAGCACATGTAAAA